CATAAATATAAACACCTATTATGTATCCACAAAAATTGAAAATCACAAAAACTATAAAGTATTATTTTTTTGTTTTCAAAAATAAAGTATACAAGTTATTGAAGGTAAAAGGCAAATGTCTGGATTATTATTTATTTTATAATTTTATTTTGAAATTAGATAAAGCTCAAATTCTAAATCATATTCTGAAAATTTACTTAAATATGTTTTAAATTAAACCGTTTGAAATTCTAGTATTCTGTGACCATGTACTTGTCCATGTGAAGGCATTTAGGGTTACAGTGCATTGTGTGATGTCTGACTTCATATCCCAAATGACAGAGTTTCTCATATGTTCTCTAATAAAATTTTTGTGGATGTCTATGCTATATGGTTCTCTCTAAAGAACTGTCTATCTTCTGTAAGGGCAGTGCTAAAGGATTAAGCATATGGGTCAATGTATTTGTGTTTGTTTCATTTTATAACAAATTATTGCAAACTTTATGGCTTAAAGCAACACAAATATATTATCTTAGAGGTCTATATGTTAAAATTCTGACAGTGGTATCCCTGGACTAAAATCAAGGTGTTGGCAAGGTTGCACTCCTTCTGAAGACTCTAGGTAAAACAAAACAAAACAAAATGTTTCCTTCCTTTTTCCAGCTTCTAGAGACTCCCCACATTCCTTGGCTGCTGGCCCCCTTCCTGCATCTTCCACTCCAGCAATCTAGCATTTCTCTGACCTTGTTTCTATCATTGTGTCTCTTTTTCTGATCTTCTCTTCTGCATCACTCTTCCATTTTGAAACATCCCTGTCATTATATTGCATTCTCATAAACCAGGATAATCTCTCTATCTTAAGGACGGCTAGTATCTTAATCGCATTTGCAACCTTCATTCCCCTCTGCCATTTAACCTAAGATATTCACAAGTTCCAGAGTTTATGATATGGAAATCCTGGGGGAGCCATTAGTCTGCCTACCTTGGGGGGAAAATAATAATCCCCATAGATTCTCAGTTGGAACAGACCCCTGTTACAAACGACAAATTAACAAAAGAAAACAAGCAGTAGTTTAGTAACATGTCTTTCATGTACACATAGGAGAAACCCAGAAAATGAATAGTTCTCAAAGAGCTGACTTTAAATTCCAGCTTACATAGCATCTTCAGCAAAGAACAGTAAACTTTTAGAGAAGGGATAAAACAAAGGAAAAGGATTTTGAGTCTCTAGACAACAACTTAGGACAAGGTGAATAACTGGCAGATAAATAGTAAAGGTAACTAATGAGACACGTGGTTAGTTAGTAAGGCTTCTTAATGCAGATTCCTGATTATTATCTCTGAACTGAGAAGGGTCCAAAGGTGTCTTAAGTGGTTACACGTTGCTGTCACTAGTAGAATGGAAGAGGGGAAAGGATAGGATAGTTTCTGTCCTTGTAAATCTGTGTCCTGTTATTATGCAAACAAATGAAGGACAGGGAATTTTCTGCATCTGCCGCTTCTTCACTGTTTCCAGCTCAACGATCTTTCATATTTTGAAGAAGGAAGGATATTTTGGTCTCCCACACTACCATAGTCAAGAAAGGCTACATTATGCTGTGATAACAAACAAATAAAAACTCCAAAATCTTAATGCCTTGTAATAACAAAGATGTATTTCCTAATAGTGCTACATGTCCCTCTCAGATCAGCAGAGATCTCTGCTCGTTGTACTTAATAAGAGGCCCAGGCTGACAAAGCCGCTGCCATCTTGAACATAGCTGCTTGATGTGCCAGAGAGAATAAAGAACTCTGCAGGGTCACCCACTAGCAATTCAGTACTTGTCCCAAAAAACAGCATGCATCATGTCTGCTCAGAACACACTGTTCGTAACTTGTCTCATGACTCTGCCCAGCCTCAGAAAATTCAGCCAAGGTAATCCCATTTTGTGCCTTAAAAGGAAAAAATAAATCACACTTACAACCATTACATGAAGTTGAAGCCTACTTGTTACAAATACATACAAATGCTAGGTAAATAAATAAAAGAAATGTAATTGATAGCTGAGCTTGCAAAAATGAAAATGAAATCTTTACATTTCAGGAATGAAATCCAGAACCATAAGACATGAGCTATTGCTGCTACTGCTTTGAATGAAAAGAGGAGAAAGTGTTTAATTAGAACCATAAATATGAAGGAGTTGAGGTTTAATATCCTCAGAGGGAGGTAAGACAGGGCCACAGACAAAAGGGCAAAAGGAACTGAGATTTCTACGTAAAGCCAGAATCCCTAGAAAGATATACAATTCACAAAAGAAATGGAGAGAAAACTCTACTCACTAAATAAGAACAACCACATGTTTCTACCCAAGCAATAGAGATAGAGGAGGAGGTAGAAGTATCCCTAAAGCAATCCAGCCCAGCAGCATGTTAAATTCTCCCACTCTATTAATTTGTGTGTTTTTTCCTCCTTTTATATCTACACATTTTGGCTTTATATATTTGAAGCTTTATTATTAGGCACATTCATATCAAAAATTTATATATGATGTATTAATTATTTTATCATGAACCCTTTTTCTTTATCCCTAGCGATATTTCTTATCTCAAAGATTGCATTATATGATGTTGACATAGTGTTTAGCTAAACCCATGTGTTTAGCTAGTGTTTATTTAGTATTTCTTTTCCTTTTTTTATTTTCTGCCTTCTTTTTCTCTGAGATTTTAATTCTGTCTCTTTTAAGCAACATGTAACTGATAGAATTTTTAATGCAGTTTTTCAATTGGAATATCTAGTAAACATTTGTGTGTGAAACAAGGACACTATTACCAGGTAAAAATTCAAGCTGAAGACTGGGAGACATTATTGTCTACATGTATAATAGACGATCTATAGAAGCCCTACAAATAAAAAGACAGACAAATACCCTAGTGGGAACACAAGCAAAGTAAATAAACAGGTACATCGAAGATATAATTCTAATGGCCAACAAGCAAAAGTCAAGTAGCTTTAGTAGTAATCAGAGAAATGCTGATAACATGTTGGAAAGCATTGTGAAAATACCAAAGAAATTTGTAGATGCACATTACCTAGGAAAATAATTCTACCTCCTGTTACCCATCCTAGAAAAATTCCTATGCACTAATAAGGGAGCCTTAGGTGAAAGGGATTTTCACCATTTCATTTGTAATAGTATGATATTTGAAACAAACTTATTGTTCATTAATATGGAAGTGGGTAAACAGAGGATCAATAAATGGAATACAGTATTGAAATTATAAACACTGCACCTGAATGCATCAATACATCAACAAGGATAAATCTCACAAAATCATATTATAAATAAAGAAAAAAGTTCCCAAAGCATTAGGGTCATACGGCACTATTTATGTACATTTTGAAAATGCCGAAAACATTTCTTTATATTATTTGAAGATGCATATATATGTTATTAAAAATATGGATTTGAATACTCACCAAATTAAGGAGGCTGGTTGAATCCAGGAAAAAAATTAAGGTTGTGATTTAACTGTAGCTACAAAATTTTATTAATTATTTTTGAGGGGGAAGAAAATATCAAGAAAATATAGCAAATCAAGAGCAATTTTTAAATCTAAATGAAGTGTCCGTAGAAGTAAGGATTCTTATTTTTCTTACTGTTTTGAATGTTTGAAATATTTTACAATTAAATATTTTTTAAAAATAATTCTTGGCATTTATGGGTTTTCAGAATAAAGTACACATATAAAATGGACCAAAGAAAATTATAGATAAAAAATTAATTTCAAGTCTAACCTGAAAATTTACACAGTAATGTTTACATTTTTTATTCTATTTTTATTTCTATTTTTACAATTTTGTATTCATGCCACTATCATTTGAAAGATAGCTGATGGAGAACCCATTAATATATAGTTGTGCAAATGTACAATTAGATATTTAAACAAATAAAACTGACTAAAAAATGGGTTCAACTTAAAAGAAGTAAGGGCGTTTGGACACTAACATTGAAAATATTGCTTTAATTAGGCAATACCTTTGTCTTAAAGATTTTTAGTCACGATATAATTTGGCCTCATTGAATAGATTCTGATTTAGGAAAATAGGAAGTCTGAAAATCTGCAGAAACATAATTTTTTGTAAAATTAAATTCAGGTTTACTTTATCTCGTGTTTATCCTCATAAAAATTATGAAGCAACCTAAGAATATTTTCAACTGCCATTTCTTGAAAGCTAAAGAAAGACTAGTCTGTAAAATATGTGTTTTATAGACTCTCAACAATCTCATTACTAAGGTCAATATGATTACAAGTATTTCATCTTCTCCTTAGAATGTTTCACTTGTTCCTTTACTTACAAGTAATCTAAATTTGGGAGAATATTAAAAAAGAAAATGTGCTAAGGGTCATTCCCATGAGTTCTCATAGAACACTGCACATTTCTAATCACTGCATTTACTTCACTGCAATTTCCTGTTTACTTGTGGGTGTTTGCCCTTTTCTTGGTCACTCTTTAATTCCAGTGCCTAGCACTGTGCCGGTCACATAGTTTGTAGTCAAATAGTCATTGATTCATTCCTTCATCCATTCATCCTTCTATCTATTCTCATTAGTCAGTATTCCCTATTTCTATTATCCTTTCGAACCAAGAGGGAATTCAGTACGGTGTGATATATAGAACAATAAAAATATTTTTAAGTTAATTTATGGCCCTAATTGACATATTCCTTCATTTTTTGCTTCCCATCCCCTTGTACATTCAGGTGGAATGGAATAACTAACGGAGCTCAGATTCCAAATGAAAGAAATATTAATGGAGTACACATCTGAGAACTTCCAAAAGTTCCCACTTCAGCACACACTCAGACATACCCCTAAAGTAAAATATGGTTGTTCCTATGCCTAGAAACCCACACAAAATCCACTTCTGCTTGAAATATTCAGATTATTAATGAAGTAAGGTTTTTATTTGATTTGAGTTACCTGGAATCGAGCTACGGCCCTTTTCTATTTCAAATACATGGGCAAAGACTTGTACTTACTATCCACGAACGTTTTCAGTAGAGTATTTCCAGAGTCTCTGTGACAGAAGTTGCTGAGATGGCAGAAACCACGGGAATTTCTGCAGAGTAATCAGGCATAGGCCAGAGGAGTGCATTCTTTGGGAGACATCAGGAGACATGCCTCGAATAGCCAGTGCATACTTTCATATACTCAGGAGCATGAACTGTTGTAAAACTTTGGCAGGCAAGTACTCTTGAGCCTCATGGCAGTTGGCCAAATGCAGCAGGATTCTGAATCAGCAACAATGTGACAAAAGTAAACTTTTTTTTTTTTTTTTTTCTGATTTGGACTCTGGTGTCAAAGTCTGGACAGTCCTCTAGGATAAGGCCAGCAATTTCAGTGGCATATGTCTAAGCTAATTCTGATCTTTCAAATACCACTTAAAGTTATGAGGCAAAATCAGTAGAAATCTAACCTCTCAAGGACACATGCATAGCAAAGCAGATGGCTGGCAACAGACTGTTTAATCCCAAATCAAATAACAGAATCAGCACTTCAGGATGACTGCTTATATAGACACTTTTGTCAGATAATGTGGCTGAGAGCTACACTTCCAACACAATAAGCTCCATAAAGAGTTTGCCATACACTGATTGATCAATGGCAAATTCTTTCAGCTTATACAGCAAACAGTGAGCTGTTACGAACATAATATACACCATCTTAAACTAACATGAATTTACATTAAAAGATAAGACATTAATCTTTTGGTATCTAACATCTTATTTGGTGTTTATTGTTTTTATTTCTTCATGTAGACTTCAGGAAGTAAGTCTGATAATGAAATTTGGAGATGGGAAATACCTCTTTTGATTTAACATCATTGAGGGAGATTTCTGTGAAGACAGCAGTGAAAATGCTTCCATGTTAGCCTGGTATAAATATACCTGGTAAAAATAATCTGTATAAATCCTCTTACCAGGGGAAATAAACCATGAACAGTGCTGATACTTGTAGGTAAAGTTTTCCTTTGGTTTCTGGCATGGTGGCAGTTGTTGGAAATTCTATCTTTTTTACTTTCAGGCAATCCCAGATTTTGCTCACCTTTTCAAAGGAAAGTTCCAAAATGTAAGCAGAGATAATACATAGAATGAGTTTTCCTAAAATATGGTCTTCATATCATTCTAAAAAAAAAAAGTTTAGGATCCCATGGTCAAGTAAATGTGAAAAACATTGTCTTAATAAATGCTAAACAAGATTCATGTTCCCTCAGGACTTCTCAGCACTTAGAGTAAGGTGGTATTAAGTTGACTGTTTAAGAGATAATATTATATATATATATTGTATGCAGCATTTCCCAAGATTATTTGAGCACAGACTTGTGCATGCTTGTGTGTGTATATGTGTATGTGTGTAAAATATCTGAAGAGACTAAAGTTCTGAAAAATGTACTTTTTGAAATGTTGATGATCACTTGTACCTTAACAAACAGTGGCTTTACTTTTCTGTATGTTCATTTTGAAGTTAAGCCATTTTCTTTCCTGTGTTTTAGGCCTACCAATAGATACATAGACTTTATAGCAACCTAGTAGTTGAGATGGAAGAAGAAAGATATGGAGGCAAGAATGTGGAAGATTGCAATAGTTGGAGCAGAAATAAAAGAAAATAAAAGAAAGTAGATTGGGGTCTTGGTGGTAGGAACCAAAAAAGAAGAAACTGGCTTTTCAAACATTATAAAAGAAAGAAATGGCAGGACATAGAAAGGTCCTAGACACAAGGTAGAAAGAGAGATAATCAAAGATGGACTCAAGGTTGTAACCCTGGGTGATAGGAGAGTTGTCGTGCTGCTAGCAATAATGGAAAGTAGAAGGGGAAAAATGATAAGCCTGGTCTATTATTATGGCATTTTTAACTGTAGGGGCACAATAAAGTAGGTTTCTATATGTGAAGGAAAAAAATTCAAAATCAAATAATAATGTATAAAATGTAAAAATATTAAACATTTCTCACTCAAGTGTCAAAACTACCCTTTAAAACAGCATTTTATTTTTAGTAACACATATATAGCTAATTGTTTTGGTAGCTGTAGCATGTGTTTTTGTGTTCTCCCTCGACACTATTCTCTGGCATTTTAGTTTCCACAATAATATAAAGGCACACACAAATTATATACAGCATTGATTAAAGGCATATATCCTTAAAATTACATCTGCTTAAATGCAAATATATGTTTTTTTATATACAAAAATTACATTTGACCCACAAATGCAAATTGCCCTAGCTGGGAAAGCAAAGGTGGTGTTGGGGGAAAAAAATCTGAAAATGTAACACTGTCAAAGAGTTCTGATTCAATTTGCTAGTGTAATACAGAAGAGAATGACAAATAAAAAGTCTTTATTTGCTTGAAGAGCCTCTGAGGTTTTTCAATACCATTGAAATGCTGTCCTCAACTCAAGTACTTTTCATGTATCAGAGAAGTGGCAAATTTAACAAAGCCTGCATTAATGTTTTGTATTTCTATTCTAAATAAAATGCTTCAGTAAGTAAACATGAGTATTCAGTAATGCTGCAACTGGAGACAATTTAAAAAGCTCCTGTTTCATAATATATTGATAAGTAAATTATTTTGAAAGAAGCAAACAGTATTGTCGAACAGTGAAAGGCTAAACCAGTCATAAAATAGAAACTACTTGAGTACTTTTGTTTATTTTCTATGACAATACAAAAAAATGTTGGCATACATGTGTTTTGTAAACTGTAGGTATTTTGTGTAGATGATTTAGTATTAAACCCATATAAAGAACAAATGTAAACTATTACTACTGGAACAATTTTCAGTAGTATCCAGAGTAATGAACCCCAAATAACAAAAAGAAAATGAAGGCAGTGTAACAAGCATTAAAAAAAAAAAAATTTAGACAACATAGAGATCCAAATCAGGAAATTGCATTTCATGTTAACTGCATCGTTGTCATGTCTTCGATAATCAAACCTGCATGAGCAATTTACAATTTGGCTGGATATTGAAAAAATTTCAACTTGCTGTATAATAGTGGCATGGCCCATGAGTAAACAGACATTAGTTTATGTTCTTTATGTGTGGCATGCTAACAGCATGAATTTGGGCATGTTCTTTTGTCATTCTGTATCCTGGTCTCTCATTTCAAAAAGAAAAATGATGGGAAAGATAATAATGGCATTTTAATAAATGCAAAAGTTTAACCCAGTGCCTGCCATGTAATCAATATTCAACAAACATTAGGTATTTTTATCATAATTATTGTTATAAATATTATCAGAGATTTTGTCTGCTTCCAAATACCAAAATAATTCTTAATGTCTGGTTCAACATATAAATCCTTAAAAATAAGCTACAATGAAATGTTTCCGTCTGAAACCTTCGGCTGGGACTTGGTAATAAGTATAGAACAGGGGATAAAATGTCAATGAACATTCATATTTTCTAAACTAGATACTAGAATATTTTTTCAGTTTTAAAATGTGGTGCTTTCAGGATATATAAATAGAAAAGTATAATTTCTGCTTTATAGTATATGTTCTTACTGTGCAAAGGCTTCAGCTCTAGCTATGCAACCAGAGATTGGTGACAATGCTCTTTTATTTTTGTATAGAAAGAGAACAGGGGAAAGATAATATTTATTAGCAGCTATTTTACCAAACATCTTATATTAATTAGCTCATTTAAAGCTCTCAGTACCTCAAAAGATTATATTTTATACATGCCCCCAAAAATGTACTGATTTTATGGCTTAAGGACATAGACACTGGCCCCAGATTAACTAAAGTTTGAATACTGACTCTAACATTTGCCCACTGAGTAATCTAGGGCAAGTTATTTAATGTCTCTGAAAATAGGAAGCATAATAATTCTGGTCACATACATTTTATTTGTGTGTGTGTGGGCACACGCGCATATGTGTGCACGTGCACACATGCATACATATAACTCAATCCATAATAAAAGGTTTAGAATAGTGTCCAGAACTCAGTAAGTTACCAGTATATAATGGCCAACACTTGTAGAGCACTCACTCAAGGTCACTCAGCTAGTAAGTCTTAGAATAAGAGTCCCAACCTTTGTCAAAATAGGCAATTTTAAAATATCTGACTGATGGAGTTTCTCTTAGCTTTGCTGCTTCCCACACCTACAGCTTCTATGGGCCTCAACTACTTCATATGTGAAGTAAGCAGATTCTAATATCAGATATGGTAGTCGTGGCACTCCCCCTCTAACCTGCTTCCTGCTTACCTCACACCTTGCCAAAAATGTTAATAAATAGCTTTAATCTATAGAGATACTTTGTTGATCTTGAACTGGGTCTCCAAATACTTATCAGATCAGTCCACTAGGCAGCTACTAACCATCAACCCAACAAATACTCACTAAGTGCAAATCTCTGGCATTCTTTCCTTCTATATAAATTTCTTATTTTAGACCAGTTTAATATTTACAGAAATAAAATTACAGACAGTACATAGTGTTCCCATATAACCCATACCTACTTGTTCCTATTAACATAGTATATTATTATGCTACATTTGTTACAAGTAATGAACAAATATTGATGCATTGTTATTAACTAAAGCCTATAATTAATTCAGAATTCCATATACTTTATTTAACATCCCTTTTCTGATCTCAGAACCAATCTAGGATACCACATTACATTTAATTGTCATGTCTTCTTAGGCTCCTCTTGGCTGTGAGAGTTTCTCAGACTTCCTTTGTTTATGATGACCTGGGAAGTTTTGAAAAATGCTGGTCAAGTGTTTGTAGAACAACCCTGAATTAGAATTCATCTGATGTTTTCCTCACGATTACACTGGAGTTTGTGTTGGAGGGAGAAAGACCATAGAAGTGAGTGTCATTTTAATGACATCATATCAAGAGTAGATATTATCAGCATGATTTATTCCTGTTGATATTAATCTTGATTAGCTGGCTGAGGTAGTGTTTGTCAGGTTTCTCCACTGTAAAATTATTTTTCTTTTACCCTTTCTGCACTCAATTCTTTGAAATGAAATCACTATGCACAGCCCACATTAAAAGAGTGGGGAGTTATGCTTCACTTCCTTGAAGGCAACAATTTAATATATAAATTACTTGAAGTTTTTCTGCATGGGGGATTTAGTTATTCTCCTGCATTTATTTATTTATTTATTTATTTATTT